TAATGATCTAGTGCTGCCATGATACAACCGCTTTCTTTAAAGCATTATGAAAACACCAAAACCACGTTCTTGGAGCTTGTAACCCATATAAGATCTTTTCATTCTATGAACCTGATGGTAGTTCCATGCAGACCTCTTCGACCAACTTCCGATGCAAAAAGGCATTTTAACAACGAAAATAACCACCCGAACTGTCACTATCTTAGAAATAGACCAAATGTTTCATCATAGTCAAGTCCATGTTGATTAAACCCTTTTGCAACCAGCCTTGCTTTAAACCTTTCCACATTGCCATCTAGTTCGTACTTCGCTTTATAAACCCACTTGCAGCACACTACATGTTTATATGTAGGTCTAGGAACTATCTTCCAAGTGCCAAGTCTTGTTTATGTACATAGCCTTATTAACTCGATCTACGGCCTCTTTCTTTTTTGCCTCAGGATAAGTTCTAGGCTCTTTGATTTTGAGAAATCCAAACATAAACTTGAATACTACTAGTGAAGGTGTCATAACTTACCCATCAATCAATTAGATGCTTTGTTCTAATAGACTTGTGTGAAAGTGGATGATGTGAACTAGTATGGTCTATGTAGTTTAAAATTTTCTTTCGCAATACCTGCAAGAACACTTACATAGATCCACACTTGCTGCCACTTTTCATAATGTCTTCATTACATAAGCAAAATTACATTAAAGGAGATTGGGAACAAGAAAAAACCACAAGAAAGCATAAAACAAGCTAGTGTGCCAAAAGATTACCTCTAATGGACTTTGCATACCCCACATAGGGTCTCCTCCACCATGGCGCACGGAATCTTGGTCTTTCTTGAATCTCCCCAAATTGGGAAGATTGGCTAAACCCTATACATGGAACTTGAGAGCATGCACATGGAATATGGGACCTCTCTTACCTCCCAACTATGTGGGGTGTGCCCCTTCCTCTGCTTGATGAACTAGGGGTGTGCCCCTTCCTTTGCTTGATGAACTAGGGGTGTGCCCCTCTTTCTTTTTCTAATTTAGAGAGTACGGGGGAGAGAGGGGTAAAGAGAGGGTGGCGTGCCACCTACGTGAGAGAGAGAGAGAGAGAGAGAGAGAGAGAGAGAGAGAGCTCTACGCTATATATATTATGATGACCCCATTGAGATGTATTTATACTAGTGAGGCTAGGGTTATGCTTTTAGGGTTTAGCCATCCTTATGGAGATTCGATCTAAATCAATGATCATAAGTGTCCTATGGGGTGAAAGATCTTAGCCATATAGTCCATAGATCAGGCAATGATCTAATGCACTTTATCTCTACTAGTCACTATGTCCCACACTCACTTTCTCAAACTGATCCGGTAGTTCCCATGACCCAAAGTCCATCATAGGAATTCATGATTAGACTACCAAAACCAACCAATAGGTGATGATAACACAATCCTAGCCTATGGACTACAGGTTCCCCCCTAGGGATAAGTCTAGGTCACACAGACCTATGCACACTCATCGCAATTGGTGCATTGGGGGCTATCTCTCGCACATATACATGCAATACCCTCAATGGTGTCTACCTCCCGCTATCGCTATCATATATACATGTCGTGTGATGGTCATGATGAGGATTGGCCCTTGTCCCTTCAAGTCTACCAATCACACACAACGGTCACTAAGTCCCTAGGCCAACTACCCTTGGCATCTCTCGGACCTCATCAAGGGCTGACTCTGCAAATCCTTCTCGGTCGTGCTATATGCCCAGGTCTCATAGTAAAACTCAACTCAGCCTAGATCGTCAACCCTAGTTTGAGTCTTGGCATCAATATTGTCAACTTCGGCCCCTATGGACCACAATCCTTTGGTCCCCCCTCTGGACTGTACTCCCACTAGAGTTATCATATCACTATAGTAATAGTTTTATATGCTCTCATAAGGCCTTTAAATGGCCACATAACCCCCAACACTGTGTGGGTTTTGAGTGCACTACCGAATTTCAACTGGCCAACTTTCTTGTTTGCCCTTCACACCTTCTTCTTGATATATTATTGTATCTTTGGTTGATTTATGAGTGTCTCAATTTTATGAGTCTTCATTTGGCTATGAGAATCTTCATTTGTACTATCTTCTTACTGGCTGTCAAGGCGTCTTCTTTGATATATCATAATATCCTTGGCTGATCTATGAGGGTCTTCAATTTTATAAGAGTCTTCATTTAGATCCTGTCTATATATTCCTCGAACTCTTCCCGAGTCTTGGAGGAGTTTCATCAATTACCTCCCCTCAAGACTGCGTTGCTCACAACTTCTATCTGCATATTTACCAACAAGAAGTGGTGTCTCATCTACAACTTGATTCATTGATCGACTGTGAATTTCATGATGCAATGACTCTTCTCTTTTACTTGAATCACCTGTATCCATAAAATGAGGACGCATATACATCTTCCTTTCATCAAAGGTTGCAAGCCTCAAGATAGAACTCTGTTCAATCTAAGACTGCAATAAATGTATCCCTTGTAACTATCAGCATAACCAGTAAAAAAATGAATGCCTACCTTTGAGGATAACTTATTTCTCTAGCTCTACTCAACATGAACATAGTCATAACATCCAAATGAGTGCAATGTGGAATAATCAAAGTCCTTCCTAAGTAGAACTTGGTAAGGGGATTTCTATGTAGAACATCTATAGGCAACCTATTGATGAGATAAACTATTGTATGAAATGATTGTCTATAAAAAGTTAGGAGCACCACTTATAAACATCATGGACAATGCAACGTCATTGATATATGCTTATGTTTTCTCTCTACCACTCCGTTTTGCTCAGGCATGTATGCGCATGATATTTGTTGTTTCACCCCATCATTCTCTAAATAAATTCTACAGTGTTGGGATAAGAACTCTTCCCCTCCATCACTATGAAAGTAGGCTATAGGTTTTTGAAATTGTTTTCAACAAAGATTTTGAATTTCATAGAAATGTGAAACACATCAAGTTTGACCTTAAGAAAAAAATGTCTAGGTGAAATGAGAGATATCATCCACTAGTGTAACATAATATAAAGAACTAGATAAAGAAGACTGTGGAACGAGGCCCCAAACATCAGAATGAATTAATTGAAAGGGAGAAGAAGCTCTTTATTATAAATCATAAAAATGGAAGTTCATATGTTTCAACTGACATCCATGATAGACAAACGAGGATTGAATGTCCAGATTAGTGGGAATTAAGCCAACTTACATAATTTATTCAAAGACTGAGGGCTGCAACGACCTAAATTATGATACCAAAGACTGGCATCTTTATTGATACTAAGAAATGAAAAGAACAATTGGAGCTTCTTCTTGATATGATCATAGATAATACAAAACTATCCTCGACGAGACCCTTTAGGACATGTTATCCCTAATTGTTGTTCCTTCAAAAAACAAAATTGGGTGTACATACACATGAAATAGAATTTTCTCAAGCTAACAGAGAAATTGAAACAACATTTCGACACATTTTAGGAACAACGAGAACATTAGATAAATACATAGGACCGTGGGAAGAGTGAACTGTGATACTTCCTACATCAGTAATATTGAGGAAGGTTTCACCACCAATCACAAAAAAGCCACTACCAGCGCAAGGAATTAGCAATGACAACATATTATCACCTAAAACATGATTTGCAGTACACTATCCAAAGCCCACCCTGACTCTGAAGGTGACGTGATAGCTAAGTTTTCTAGAGAATGATTTGGGGCAGCAACCGAACTTTCAACCGGCCAGGTTTTATAATGACCAAAACACTTCACGGCTGTATGATTCTTCCACAACACCACCATCTGAAGAGACATATTTCTAATGAAGTAGTAGGTAGCAATCCACAACCTTGGTTAGGATGAAAATTTAGTTATTCCACATTGACCTCTAGGTCCCCTACCTCTATATCCTCTGCCTCTTCCACCACGATTTGAATTCCAGCCTGTATTAACATTTGAAATATAGTTTGACCATAAAACAGATTGAGAATCTGTAGTAGAAAATGGCTAAAATTCACTAAATGAGGGGAAATGGAGTCTTCATCATCACATAGGAAACAAACACGTACAACCACCCCCAAACCTCCCAAAACATAATGGACATTGTCCCTTCACTTAAGAGGATCTTTCACCATAGCAAGCTGATCACCTAGGCTCTTATCTTGTTATAGAACTCTGAGACTCAACTAAATATTCGATAAAAATCTCCCTATTGTGCAAACCTCTCCATTTCGCGTTCAAACGTACATGAAGAGAAGCTAACCACAACTCATTGGCAAAAGAAGCGGTCAACAATCCATTCTCCATCTCTAGGGGCTCCAACCAACCCACCCCAGGCTCCCCCATAAAAATAATAAATGAATAAATAAACCCACCCTTAACCAGGCCATAAGCACAGATAAATACACAATATCCTTCCATTTTTTGTACAGAAACTTTCAGTTTTTCATTTAATTTTGTACACCCAGGCATAGGTAATAGAAATTATACAAAGTCCAATCTTTGATATATAGTACAAGTTGATATTTCAAAAAACAAAAGAAAAAATAGTGTTACATAAGTGCCTTGATGAGAACTTGGGCCCTTTTGTACAAGTTGCAGCACAAAGCAAGAAAAGGAAAACTATCTGCCGACAAACCATTCTTGCTTACAAGTTAAAAGCCGCACGAGGCATTATTAATCAACTTTGTGCAGTAAACATTAATTCGCTAAAGAGAATAAATAATCCTCAAATATCCAGTTTATACATTCCACAGGGCAGAAACATACTCATGTCTACAACATCAAGAATTTATTATTTTACATGTTTTTTAAAGTATCTGAGAAGGACAAATCCCAAAATTTAACTATCCCTGCATCATGGGAGGAAGGGAACCACCCATATGAAAATGGCCATTGTTACAATCTCAGCAACATACTCAGCACGATAGTCAAACCTGATGGATTATATGTCACAGGGACCAACTAAATGAAATCAATGAGGTACAACTCTCACCTATATTTACAGCTGAACCATGTTCAACTGTTGGATTATCAAATCCTTCCATTAGTGGTGACTCAGAGCTCTTCGACTCTAGAGTTTCCCCAGAGCTCATTATTGATTGCTATTTAGGTTTCTTGTACAATACTTTATACAACTATCAATCAAAATTCAGCTTCCTGCAAAACAATTGGCAAAACGATTGGGTGGATCATCATCATCAGAAAATGAGATAGTTCCTCAAAGATGATAATACAAAAAATTACTATAAACTACTCACTGAGAACAGTACATGCAGGTCATCAAAGTTATACCCGGTAATTTTTACCCTAGATACATTTTTAACAAGCAGACACATAACACACATAAAAGATACAATTAACAATTTTCACACCACATACACACAATAACATGCAAACATGGATATATATTAGCGTGGACACAATTATGCGATTGCGCAATTACATCAAAGTATCAAGATCAGAAATAATGGTTCTCAGTGATGAATAATAAACCATTTAAGGCCTAAATACAAACAAAATAGAATGAGATATCTAGATTGCACTTACAATTTGCATACTGGCAAAGAAGCACAGATGCTACATGTATATACAGAGATATCCTCATCCTGAAAGCATTAAATCGATGTACTCATATAGCAAATGGGAATATATAGCAGTTGACGCTCCCCTTCAATGGCTAAAATGGATATTGGGCGGACAGCCAGCAGTAATAAGAACAACTCCAACTGCTGGATCAAACACTCCACATTATACATAAATTCAATATTATCATTTTGAAACAGAAGCTGAATGCGTCAAACAACCTAAAATGGTCAAAGAGCTACGAAGTTGTTTATGGAAGGAAGAGCGAATCATGCCTTACCCAAAACCATCAGAAGGAATGCAGTTTACAGGATTCTAGAATGGAAGGCTAATACGAACATATTCCATCATTTATCTTGAATGAAATGATGAGGTTGCTACTTTCACCCTTTTTCACTATTCCCATCTAAAAACATGGTAAGCTGGTAAGATAACATTTCCGCTAATCGTACCCAAACATGATAAGCAAAGAAAAAACATGCGAAGAATAGTTTTCCCGTGTGATAAAACACATACAACAAACTTGCTTTCATGGGTAATGGTTGAAGACATTTGGAATCTTGGATCCCATGGCCAACTTCCCTGTTGAGGGAATGCAGCTCAAGTGTTCTACTTGGAAACAGATGTCCATAACGTAAAAAATGGTTCTATCCATTATTCAATAGACTTTCCTTCATGGGAAAGGCCGAATGGCTAAAGAAACTTCTAACAGTTGGCCACTCTATAATATAGAGGGAATGAATCTCAAGTGTGTTCCACTTGATATAAAATGTTCATAACCTAAAACAAGATTTTATCCATAATTACCCTCTAAAATAAATTTCAAGCCTTGAGGGAGGAACTATCCTCTTCCTTGCCCATTAAACCATGTCCTTCTCCTCGTTCTTGTGGACATACAAGTTGCATGGTGGCTGGAACGCCAGCCACCATGCAACTTGCAAAACAATTGCAGGACTTTGTCTTTCTAACTGCTACTGGAGCTCTGCCCTCATCAACAAGCCTCCCTATCTTGCAAAACAGTGCAAAATCTTAAGAGCATGATGTGAAACCAAGACCTGTTAGGTGAAAATATTGCAGAAGATATACTCACAAAGTGAATGAATATTGGATCTTGCATGGATATCCCCCTCAAATATGACTGAAGCCTCTTGAAACATTGTAACTTCAGTTCTGAGAGCTTGCGATGAGGTGACTTCCTGAACCAGTAATAAGGATTGGATTTCAGCAACTGTGGAGCCTGATTGACTTACTAGGCATAAGGAAGCACAACAAATCCATCCTCTCATTTAGGTACACAATACATCATTTAGGTACACAATACATCATATTTTTGTTGAAATATTCAATATCTGACTCTAAACCTACCAAAACATTCTCAATATAGACCAATTTACTATCTTCTAACCAACCCTGGAAGAGAAGTCAATTGTAAGCTTGCCACACACAATGCTCATCCAGAACATGTGATGTTATTGTCGATCTAGTGCAAATTAAACTCATGATCATATAACCAATAACATTATAGTTGGCCACTCTTGATACCTCTTACTACTCTTACACCGCCACTAATAACCCCTCCACTAATCTTAGACCAATAACAATACTCTAATATTGGTGCCTCTTACTACTCTCGTCCGTGTTTTAAAATGCGGCCGCATCATGCGGGATGCACTCGCATCCGCATCCTGTTCAGACGCATATGCGCTTTTGACAGATGCGGCCGCATATGCGCCGCATCAGGCCGCATCATGGCCGCATCCAGCATCAAGGCTGCATCAGACTGCATCTCGGCCGAATCTGTTTCCACGAAATGTTTTTTCGATTTTTGCCCCTCGAGGAGGGGCAAAATGGTCTTTTTTTTGTTCCAATGTTTAGGGAAACTGTTTGGGGGGTTACAACACCCCCTAATCGAAGATTTCCAGCCACTTTTGTGGCTTTTTTGCATCAAATCGAAGGAAAAAAAAAAATTGGCGAAAATTTTTTTTTTATCCAAATCTTCGATTTGGCGGTTATTTGATACTTAGATGTTCATTTGATGCCTTTTATTGTTGATTTGGGGATGTTAAGGTGAATTTGTGATAAGAAATTGGGGATTTCAGAGGCCGTAAAGAAATCAAGCACTACTTCACAGAGTCAGTAACTTTTTATTCCTTCTTGTACAATAATACTATTATACGTATTTTTGGGGCAATGTCTTCTTCCCAATCTTCTAGTAACAAGGATCCGGCTTGAAAATATGCTAAACTAAAAAATCCGAAAGATAGAAATTGTGTGATATGCTTGCTCTGTAGAAATACTTATATGGGTGGTATTTTTCGACAAAAAGAGCATTTAGCCGGAATTTCTGGGAATGTAAGAGCATGCCCACAAGCTACAGATGATATAAAAAGAAGATTAGATAATATTTGGATAGATTGAAAAAAGATAAAGAGAAAAAAAAAAAAGGAATTACTTGATGATATGCAATTATTTGATGATGTTGATGATGATGATGATGATATGTCTGAAGTTGCTATGAGGCAAATGGGTACTCATACTCCAACCTCAAGAGAGAGGGTTATAAATATTGGTGGTAGTGCTGAGAGAAGAACACCCCTCTCTAAGAAGCCAATGAATTCTTTTTTCACCCCTAGCCCCGAAATTGTGGTTCAGGAGAGAAAGAAAAAAACAAAACAAACCACAATTGACAATAAATATAAGAAAGAACAAAGGAAGTCGGTATATATGTGGATTGCAAAGTGGATTTACATGGCCGGCATTCCTTTTAATACTATAACTCTGGATAGTTTTGCATGTATGGCCTAGGCAATTGGGCAATATGGCCTAGGACTTATTCCTCCTTCACTACATGAGGTTAGGGAGCCCTTGTTGAAGGATGTTGTATTTGATGTGAATAAAATTTTGATTTCTCAGAGAGAAGGGTGGGAGAAATATGGGGTCACTATTATGTGTGATGGTTGGTCCGATGGAAAATCAAGGGCATTCATTAATTTTTTGGTTAACTGCCCAACAGGTACTTTTTTTGTTAAGTCTATTGATGCATCAGACAAGTCACATGATGGTATATACTTATCTGGCTTGATGGATGAGATTGTCGATTTTGTTGGGGAGCAAAATATGGTATAAATTATCACTGACAATGGTGTCAACTATGCTGCAGCTGGGCATTTCTTGACTTTGAAAAGGAAGCATATGTTTTGAACACCTTGTGCAGCTCACTGTGTTAATCTTATGCTTAAGGAAATGGGTACATCTTTATTTAGTGGGGTGATTTCAAGAGCTATGTTTATTGTTGGATTTATTTACAATCACACCATAGTCCTAAGCATGATGAGGTCTTTTACAAAGAAGAGAGAATTAGTGAGACCAGGTATCACTAGATTTGCCATGTCATTTCTCACTCTTCGAAGTCTAGCCAAGCAAAAAAGTGCCTTGAGGACCATGTTTGCTTCAGAGCAATGGAGTCAAAGCAAATGGTCAAAGCATAAGGATGGGAGAAAGGCTGAAAAAATTATTTTGAATACATCTTTTTGGAGTCAAATAATT